CTGAGCCACCCAGGCATCCCTATTTATTTTTTTCAAATTAACATATAATGTATTGTTGGTTTCAGAGGTAGAGATCAGTGATTCATCAGTTGCATATAACACTCAGTGTTCACTAGACCACGTGCCCTCCTTAATGTCCATCACCCAGGTACCCCATCCCCCACCTACCTCCTCTCCAATGATCCTCATTTTCTTTCCTGTGATTAAGAGTATCTTACGGTTTGTCTCCCTCTCTGATTTTGTCTTATTTGTTCCTCTCTTCCCCTATGATCCTCTGTTTTGTTTCTTAAATTCCACATGTGAGTGAGATCATATGATAATTGTCTTTCTCTGATTGATTTACTTTGCTTACCATAATACCCTCTAGTTCCATCCATAACATTGAAATGACAAGATTTCTTTTTTTTTTTTGATGGCTGAGTAGTAGTCCATTGTGTATATAGACCACATCTTCTTTATCCATTCATCCATTCATCTCTGTCAATGGACATCTGGGCTTTTTCCATAGTTTGGCTATTGTGGACATTGCTTCTAATAGACAATGGGGTGCAGGTTCCCCTTCGGATCACTACATCTGTATCTTTTTTTTTTTTAAAGATTTTGTTTATTTATTCATAGAGACGCAGAGAGACAGAGAGAGAGAGGTAGAGACAGCAGCAGGCACCATGCAGAGAGCCTGCCGTGGGACTTGATCCAGGGTCTCCGGGATCACACCCTGGGCTGCAGGTGGCACTAAACCACTGTGCCACCAGGGCTGCCCTGTATCTTTGGGGTAAATCCTTAGTAGTGCAATTGCTGGGCCGTAGGGAAGCTCTATTTTCAACTTTCTGAGGAACCTCCATACTCTTCTTCAGAGCAACTGCACCAGCTTGCATTCCCACTAACAGTGGAAGAGGATTCCCCATTTTCCACATCCTTGCCAACATCCGTCCTTTCCTGATTTGTTAATTTTAGCCATTGTGACTGTGTGAGGTGGTATCTCATCATGGTTTTGATTTCTATTTCCCTGATGACGAGTGATGTTGAGCATTTTGTCATGTGTTTGTTGAAGGGCAGGGATTTAAAGGGCCAGGAGTAGGGGAATAACTACAAACTGATCTATGGGGCTGGAGTGTGGCGTCTGAGAGAGATGAGGCCAGAGTGGGAAGGGCAGAGGTCACACAAGCTGAGAAGTGTGGATGCACTTCTGAGGGCAATGGGGAGACATTGAGGGTTTCTGGGTAGGGGAGAGGAACAGTTCAGGAGAGGAGTTTTGAGTCCAGTCCCTTTAGTGAGCACCCACTATGTCCTGGGCACTGTGTCATGTCCCTGTGATAGGGATCTTCCAGAAGTCCTGTCAGGGAAATGGTATAATTAGCAGGGTTCTTTTAAAGATTGTATTTATTTATTCATGAGAGACAGAGAGAGAGAGAGAGAGAGAGAGAGAGAGAGAGAGAGAGAGAAACAGACACAGGCAGAGGGCGAAGCAGGCTCCACGCAGGGAGCCCAATGTGGGACTCGATCCCAGGTCTCCAGGATCATGCCCTGGGCTGAAGGCGGTGCTAAACCGCTGGGCTAATTAGCAGTTTAAAGATGAAAACAAAAATACCGGGTACAGAGAGGTGGAGTGAACTTCGCAAGGTAGGAAATCCGGTAGGAGACACGGCCAGTTCTAGAAGCCAGGTGATGTGAGAGAGAGGTCCTTTCTTTTTCTAGAAGACTCTTCTGCAGCTTGTGTGGGGATGTTTGGTAAGCGGAGGCTGGAGGCAGGGAGGCGGGACAGGAGGCTGGGCGAGGGTCCAGAATAGAAGGGCCAGATGGAGAGAAGGAAACAGGGTAGAGAGAGTCCTGGTGGGACGCCTGCCCTGGGAGACATCTCTCCCAGCCAGATCAGTGTCCTCCCTCTCTGCAAGCATTTCCCAGGCAGTACCTGCAGAGGTCTGCCTCCCACCAGAGCTGCTTCTGAGTCACTACATTCCGCAGCGGACTGTAACACCCAGGGAAGAGCCCCAGGGCCAGGGAGCTCGCTGTGGGGTTGCAGGGATGCATCAGCCTCTGAGGGGGTTGAGGCTCCTTCTCTGTGAAATGGAAAAGTAATGGTGGCCAACACCCAGGGGTATGGGCAGAGCAGGGAGAGTGTGGACAGCAAGAGCACATCCTGGCTCTCAGCACCTGAGCTACATCAGGAGAGGCTGCTGGAGACAGGTAGAGAGAGGGGCGCAGAGACCCAGGGAGAGAGGGGGCCAGAGATCCAGAGGGGGGGAGGACAGAGACCCAGAGAAAGGGGGACAGAGGCCCAAAGAGGGGGGGGACAGAAACCCAGAGAGAGGGGGACAGAGAGAGGGGGGACAGAGAGAGACTCAGAGACAGAGGGGCAAGGACCCAGAGAGAGGGAAGAGAATTGGGTGCTTGGAGACTGTGGTTGAGATGACAAGTCCGAGACTGGACAGAGAATAGCAGAACATGAAGCAAGACAGCTTGCTGTCTCCTGTCTTAAGCTCTGACACCTTTATGAGGCCAGAGGAGGAACTGAGATGGTGGTCGTGCTTTCAGTGAATCAAAGCAATGATGCAGAAGGCAGGGCTCTTGACTTCGGCTTGGGACTTGTCTTGCTGCCTGCAGAATTCCTGGAGGCTGCTGTAGATGGTGGTGCTAAGCCTCTTCTTGCTAATTCCTGCCCTGCTGTCATTATTTTTTAACAGTGCTGACACTCATCACTGAGGTCACCTTATTGATCATACCATCTGGTTGATCCTTCCTCACTGCCATCTGAGCCAAGGTACCATCAATCCCATTTTATGAGAAAGAAAATTGAAGCAGGCTCAGAGTGAGGGGGCTGGACTGCTGAGTTGTAGCCTATGGATGGCCATGGAGGGATTTGTCCCCATCACCATCATGCCATTCACTTCTCAGCCAGGGCTGACAGGCTCTACTGTCACCACGCCCTGATCTACTCTCTGTGAAGCTGAAACACCTCCAGGGTCTATTCCAAAGAGCCTTTCTGGGCAGGCCTGTGCTCCTCCCAACAGCAGCCCATCTCCATGTGACAGATCACACAGAGGCAAATTCTCCTCCCTGAGGTTGTACAACTACTAAGTAGGAGAACTGAGTTGATCCCAGTATCTGCTTTCCTTGTTTCCCAGAATGGTTACAGGAAGCCCAAGATCTTCTGGGTCTTCAGTTAAAAATATCACTTTGTGGGATCCCTGGGTGGCGCAGCGGTTTGGTGCCTGCCTTTGGCCCAGGGCGCGATCCTGGAGACCCGGGATCGAGTCCCACATCGGGCTCCCGGTGCATGGAGCCTGCTTCTCCCTCTGCCTGTGTCTCTGCCTCTCTCTCTCTCTCTCTCTCTCACTATCATAAAAAATAAATAAATTAATTAAAAAAAGAAACAAATTATCCTTGAACTTAACCAACCAGGAATGGCATAGCTTAGTGGTTCTGAGTCAGGGACACTCATGAAGTTGGGAGTCAAAATTTCAGTAGAGGCTACAGCCATCTGAAGGCTTGCCTGGAGCTGGGGTTGCACATCCACATTCACATGGCTTTTAGCGGGAGACTCATTACCTTGCCCCATGGGCCTCCCCACAAGTGGCTGCTTATAACATGGCATTTTTTTTTTTTATGAACTAGTCTGTGAAATCACACACCATCATGCCAGCCTTCTGTTTACTAGGTGTGAGAGTCACTAAGTCCAGCTCACATTCAAGTGAAGGGGAGAAGGCTCCTCATTTTAAAGGAATGTCAAGGAATTGGGGGACATATCTCAAAACATATTTTGTGGGGTTTTTTTTTGTACAAACCATTCATTGGGATGTGGATGTTCCCTTCTATTTCCAGTTGATGAGTGGTATCATGAAGGTGTGTCGGATTTTGTCAAATGCTTTTCCTGTCTACTGACATGACTGTGTGTTTTTCCTTTTTCTATTAATATGGTTTTACAGTGATTTCCATATGGTTTTAAAAATTAATTTTCGGGAAGCCTGTTTGGCTCAGCAGTTGGGCACCTGCCTTTGGCTCAGGTCGTGATCCTGGGATCTGGGATCAAGTCCCACATCAGGCTCCCTGTGAGGGGCTTGCTTCTCCCTCTGTCTGTATCTCTGCCTCTCTCTCTGTCTCTCTCTCTGTTTCTCATGAATAAATAAATAAATATTTTTTAAAATTAAAATTAATTTTCATGTTAACCACACTTGCATTCGTAAGATAAATCTTACTTGGTTGGTCATGGTGTAAATTCTTGTTTTTATGCTGCTGGATCTGGCTTGCTAGTCTTTTGTTGAGGATTTTGTAGCTGTATTCAGAAGGGATATTGGCTTCTAGTTTTTTTTTTTTTTTTTTTGTAATGTCTTTGGTTCTGATACTAGGGTAACACTGGCCACATAAAAAGAGTTACGAACTACACTCTCCCCTTCTGTTTTTGAAGAGTTTGAGTTGCATTGGTAGCAGTTCTTTCCTAAATGACTGGTAAAATTCACTAGTGAAGCCATCTGGTACTGGGCTTTTCTTTGTTGGAACTAACTCAATCTCTTTGTGGGTCTCTTCAGATGTCCCATTTTTTTTGAATCGCTTTTGATAGTTTGTGTGTTTCTAGGAATTTTCCTGTTTCATTGAAATAATCAAACTTGATGGTACACAGCTGTTCATAGTATTTGCTTCTAAAAAATATGTTGGGGCATCTGGGTGGCTCAGTTGGTTAAGTATCCAACTCTTGATTTCAGCTCAGGTCATGATATGGAATTGAGCCCCGCATCAGGCTCTGCTCTCAACAGAGTCTGTTTGTCCCTCTCTCCCTTTCTCCTCTAAAATAGAGAAACAGGGGATCCCTGGGTGGCGCAGCGGTTTGGCGCCTGCCTTTGGCCCAGGGCGCGATCCTGGAGACCCAGGATCGAATCCCACGTCGGGCTCCCGGTGCATGGAGCCTGCTTCTCCCTCTGCCTATGTCTCTGCGCCTCTCTCTCTCTCTCCCTCTGTGACTGTCATAAATAAATAAAAATTAAAAAAATTAAAAAAAATAAATAAAATAGAGAAACAAAGATAATAAGAATTTTATTTTTAAGCAATCTCTACACCCAACGTGGGGCTCAAACTCACAACCCTGAGATCAAGAGTCACACATTCCAGTGACTGAGCCAGCCAGGCACTCTGTTCACAGTATTCTCTGATAGTTCTTTTTTTTCCCCCAAGCTTGGTAGCAACGTGCCCTCTTTCCTTCCTTTTAGTAATTTGAGTCTTCTCTTCTGTGGCCAGTCTTGCTATAGATCTGTCAATTGTGTTGATCTTTAAAAAAAAAAAACAACAACAACTTCCAGTTTTGTTAGATTCCATCTATTCTCAATTTCATTATTTCTGCGCTCCAGTCTTTATTGCTTCCTTCGAGTTTGTCTTGCTCTTCTTTCTCTAGTTTCTTAAGGAGGAAAGTTAGCTTATTAACTCTGAATTCTTTCTTCTTTTTTTGAAGATGTTTAGAGCTCTAGATTTCTCTCAAAGTACTGCTTTCGCTGCAACATGATATTGTCTCTTTGCTACAGTGGAGGAAATTGTTCTCTTCTCTCTTTGTGTATTAGCTCACCAACTGTCCGAGAAACCAAAGGAACTGGCTTAAGCAAGATAGTTTATCTCTCACATAAAAGTCTTAACAAGCATAGCAGACTTGCTCTTCAAATGCAGCAGGCTCCAGGTTCCTGTGTTCTGGTGGTTCAGATACTAAGTCACAAGTTTGGCTGCAGTGACAAAAAAGACACAAAGTAGCACAGGTTAAGGAAGGTGGAAGATGTTCTCTCTCACTTGGTAGTCTTTATAAGTGATTGGAATTTGAGCACAGCAGCTCCACCAGGGTTGGGGATTCAGGCTTCTGTCTTGTTGCATCCTCCAACTAATCCAAAATGGTTGCTCTGCCTTTAGCCATCAACTTTGCATTCTCGCCATTATTTATGAATAAATGAATGTTTTTTAAAAAAAGGGAAGAGGGAAGAAATTGCCTATGTGATTGCTACTTACATCCCATTGGCTGAAACTTTTTTATACGGCCACAGCTGCAAGGGAGTCTGGGAAATGCAGTCTTTGGCTGGATAGTGACATGGCTGGGCTGATTCTTCTTTAAATGTTGAAGAGCAGAAAGTGGATCCTGCCATGCGCAGCCCCCTTGAGCCACAGTGTGCTTGGCATGAGTCACAAAGCATTTTCTGAGTTGACTACAATGATCAGAGGCTGAGTGAAGTCATGATTTAAAACAAAGGCTCTGAAAAAAAAAATAAAAAATAAAATAAAACAAAGGCTCTGGATTTAAATTCTGGAAAAGCCATCTCATGTGCTGTGTACAGGGGCAGTGCTTCTCTAAGTCTTATTTTCCTCACTTGCCAAATGAGCCAAATAACCTCAAGAGGTGTGGCTTTGAGGAATAAAAGGGAAAAGGTTTGTGTTTGGCCTGGTGCATAATAAGTGCTTATACCCAGAAAGTGGGTTATCTTAAAATATTTTTTTCCAGTTCCTGGAGAGAAAGAGCATGTGTTTTAATAGTTTTTTTTTTATTTTTAATTTATTCATTAGAGACACAGAGAGGCAGAGACATAGGCAGAGGGAGAAGCAGGCTCCCTGCGGGGAGCCTGATGCAGGACTCGATCCCAGGATCCTGGGATCACGACCTGAGCCAAAGGTAGACTTTCAGCCACTGAGCCACCTAGGTGTCCCTTAACAGTTTATTCACGTCTGTGGATCTCAAGGCCATTTATCTCTGTTTGGTTGAGACCATCCTTCTTCTCCCCTGTGTCTGAGTGCTACTGCGATGCCCCCCTCTCCTGGATCTTAGTTCTTTTCCTTCCATCCCACCAAGCAGAAAATGAGTCTAACTACCTAGTTTTACAGAGTAGGGCTACCAAGAATCAAAGAGAGGCAGTCCCTGGCACCTCGGTGGCTCAGTGGTTACACATCTATCTTTGGCTCAGGTCATGATCCTGGGGTCCTGGGATTGAGTCCTGCATTGGGATCCCTGCAGAGAGCCTGTTTCTCCCTCTGCCTATGTCTCTGCCTCTTTCTGTCTCTCATGAACAAATAAATAAATAAATCTTAAAAAAAACAAAAACAAAGAGGAGCAGCCCTGGCCCGAGATCCCACTGTTCCAGGGCAGAATCTAGGGGTAAACCCAGCCTCCTCCCAGGTCTTAACCTTCTTCCTGGGACTGCAGGGTGCTCCCACACACCCACTGACCCACCTTCTTTTCTCATTCTTCCCCAGAGCGGGGTCAACAGTGGATTGGTCCGCGCCAAAGACTCCATCACCAGCTTGAAGGAAAAGACCACCAGGGTTAACCAGCATGTGCAGACGCTGCAGGTGTGGGGACCCCGCCCCCACAACACCTCTTCTTCCTGTTCCTCAGCCAAGTTCCCCTCTTCTAGATTTCCTCCAACTCGGTGTATCCACAGCCTGGGTTGAGACAGTTGAGGCTCAGAAGAAGGGAAGGGGACCTTCCCAGGCCCAGCATCTCCTCCCCGGGGTGGGGGGTGCTTCCTGTGGCCCTTGGCTAGGCTAACCTCTCCTCCCTTATGTGCTCCAGAGTGAGTGTTCTGTGCTCAGTGAGAATCTAGAAAGAAGGCGGCAAGAAGCAGAGGAACTGGAAGGGTACTGTAGTCAACTCAAGGTGAGTCGCTGGTAGGCAAGAGCAGGATGGGGAGATGGGAGGGAGTGGAAGTAGGAAGAAGAGGAGGGCAGGAAGAAATGTGAGGAGGCACAGAGTCACAGACAGGAGAGAGGTGGAAGTGGAAAAGTAGCATGGGAGGGGGTCGATGGAGGAACCCATCCCTTAAGTCAAGGGAACCAGGTGGATAAGGGACAGACCAATGGGCAGAAGGCAGACTTTCCGAGAAGCGGGTGTGTCTTGAGTGAGGGGTTGGAGCCTGTATGGAACTAGCGACTAGCAAGGGTAAGGGTTGGGAGGCGGAACTGGAATGGGAAGGCAGGGCCCCCCGCCCTGGTGTCCTGACCCAGGAGAACTGCCGGAAGGTGACCCGGTCGGTGGAAGATGCTGAAATAAAAACCAACGTCCTGAAGCAGAACTCTGCCCTGCTGGAGGTGAGGAGGGGATTTGGGGAAGAGGATCAGACGCTCAAGGTACTTGAGGTAGACTTCAGGTGGGACTTCCTGCCCTGCCACCCCTAACCACCACACTGGCCCCTTTCATGTTCCTGGTCCTATTCCTCCACGCACAAAGTCACATTCAGTGAAGCACTCGTACTGGGCTTTGTGCAGGAATGCCCGTCCTGCCCACATTCCCACTCTTCCCAAAAAAGGTTGGAAAAACCTCAGTTGTTCTTCTGGAAACAGGAGGGGCTGGAATTTGACACCACGGAGAACTGGAGTAGGGGTGGAGGGCTGGATGGAGACTCCAAGGTAGGCATTCAGAGGGTGACAATCCTCCCTAGTGACAGCACTTGAAGCGGGACTTCCCAATATCCTCCTCCACATCCATTTGCTTTCCAATCTCCAGGATTCATTGCGCAGATCTGGGGGTAGAGGAGGTTGTGGGAGGCAAGGGGCTGGACGCTGTAACCCTTCCTTCCTTCCCCGCCCAGGAGAAGCTGCGTTACCTCCAGCAGCAACTGCAGGATGAGACACCACGGAGGCAGGAGGCCGAGCTGCAGGAGCTGGAGCAGAAGCTGGAGGCTGGACTCTCTCGGCATGGCCTGGGCCCCACCGCCCAGTCCCCCGGCTGCTCTGGCACTCCAGGGAGTCCCGACGAACCCCCACGACCCCGCAGCATGGCCCCAGGTGGCTGGGGAATGGGGCCGCGAGCAGGGGAAGGCCCCATCATAAGCGAGCAGAAGATGCAGAAGGTCTCTGCCGGCCTTGAGGATCTGAGGCGAGTGGGAAAGGGGGGCAGCGGGAAGCCTCAAGGAGCTAAAATAGGTGGGCCCGAGGATGGAACCTGGAAGATCTTAGGGGGACCGGGCCTACGCCATGGAACCTCAAAAAGTCTAGGAGGGAGTGCACTGGGTGACCTGGAAAGGCCAGACTTCAAAGAACCGAGTTTGAGTATAAGGTTGGCAGACGCAAGGTTCTCATCTGGTGAAAGTAGGGTGGGCGGGTTTGGGTAGGGGGCAGGTCCTCGGAGTCTCCAACTTCACCAGGACAAAGTTGGGGTGAGTGGTGCCCTAAAGAAGCAATGTCTGGGTGGAGCTGGGGGGCAGGGCCAGGATACCAGAGAAGGGGATATTGGCAGGGTTCTTTTTTTTTTTTTTTTAATTTTTTTTTTTTTATTTATTTATGATAGTCACACACACAGAGAGAGAGAGAGAGAGAGGCAGAGACATAGGCAGAGGGAGAAGCAGGCTCCATGCACTGGGAGCCCGACGTGGGATTCGATCCAGGGTCTCCAGGATCGCACCCTGGGCCAAAGGCAGGCGCTAAACCACTGCGCCACCCAGGGATCCCCCTTTTTTTTTTTTAAGACTTGTTTATTTATTTATGATAGACATGGGGGGTGGGGCGCCCCCCCTTTTTTTTTTTAAGACTTGTTTATTTATTTATGATAGACATGGGGGGTGGGGCGCAGAGACACAGGAGGAAGGAGAAGCAGGCTCCACCCCGGGAGCCTGATGCGGGACTCCATCCCGGGACTCGATCGCGGGACTACAGGATCGCGCCCTGGGCCAAAAGCAGGCGCTAAACCGCTGAGCCACCCAGGGATCCCCTATTGGCAGGGTTCTGTACGACATGGGAGGATTGCAAGGAATGGACAGGACGGGAGAATTTGGAGGCTGGGTACTCACCCAGAGCCATGGGCCGGGCGGGGCCGCTGGGCACGCGTCCAAACCTGGGCCTTGACCGGTTCTTACCTCTACCCTCTCCAGGAGGGAAGTGTCCTCGCTGACTGCCCGCTGGCATCAGGAGGAGGGGGCGGTGCAGGAGGCCCTGCGGCTGCTTGGGGGCCTAGGCGGCAGGCTCGACGGCTTCCTGGGCCAGTGGGAGCGCGCGCAGCGCGAGCAGGCGCAGACCGCACGGGGCCTGCAGGAGCTGCGGGGACGCGCGGACGAGCTGTGCACCATGTAAGAGCCAAGGCGAGTGCGAGGTCAGGGGTTGGAAGCGGGGGGGCCTTGAAGGAAGGGATGGGCCAATCAGCTGGGGCCTAGCGGTAGAGAGCGTGGACTGAGCTCTAATTAGAAGACAGGGGGCGTGGTCTGCCTTATAAGGACTGAAGGGCGGGGCCAAACCCAGAAGGGCCCAGGTCTGTACTTTAAAAGGACAAAGGGAGGGGCCAAATCGGACAGGGAAAGCCAATTAGAAAACAGGGAGGGGCATCCCGCCACTTAAAACACAAAGGAAGGGCCAATGAGAGCAGAGAGGGGCGGGGCCGAAGTACCACAGGCTAGACAGGAACCTAGGAGCTCCGCTGATAATGGGTGCAATGTGGAGAGGACTTTACTGTAGGAGAGGCGACCTCGCAGCACTGGTTACTCTCACACCTCAGGGTGGAGCGATCAGCAGTGTCTGTGGCTTCACTGAGGAGCGACCTGGAGGGCCTGGGCCCAGTGAAACCTATTCTGGAGGAGCTAGGGCGGCAACTTCAGAGCTCTCGAAGAGCGTCTGACCTCTCCATGAACCTGGACCGGCCGCCCCAAGGCTCCTGTGTCCGCTGTGCCAGGTAAGGGGATGGGGCCTCGCGGGGCCTGGCGCATTCTGGGTCCTGTTGAGGACAGAGCATTGAAGGAGACAGGGCACTGGCCAAGAGTGTGCTGAGGGGGGTGGGGTTCACTTTGGGAGACAGGTATCTCCATGCATTTGGGGACAGGCTAGTCCTGCTGCGTTATGGGAGCCAGATTTTCCCCCTCCCTACGAAGTAATGTCAGTGTCTTGGGGAACACAAGACGTGATACGTTTAGAGCATCTTGGATTTCCAGTGCATTGTGGGAAGGTTGGGATGTGGTACCTGGTAGGAGACTGGGTTTCTCCGTGCATTGTGGGAAAGATGAGACCTTGGTGCATTGGAGAACCAGGGGATAGGGTGCTTGGTCCTTATTAAGAAGTGAGGGACTTCCAATACAATATGGGATCACGTTTAACTAGTGATTGTGGGAAATTTTTTTTTTCCATGAACCGAGGGCTGTCTGGTACCCTTTGGGAGTAGGAATCCCCAGGCATCGTAGGAACTACCCACACTGTGAAAATCAAAGGATACCTGATGCACTGTAGGTTGGCCCCAGTGTATGGTGGGAAGGTTGCATGGGTGTATAATGAAAGCAGGATCTGGGTGGATGGAGGCTGGGTGGTGGGGCATGGGGCATTTGGGAACAGAGTAGGGACTAGGCTTCTTACACCTGGTAACTGCCCCTCCCTCAGCCAGGGGCAACAGCTGTCCACAGAGTCCCTGCAGCAGCTGCTGGAGCGAGCACTGACCCCACTAGTGGATGAAGTGAAGCAGAAGGGCCTGGCTCCCGCCTGCCCCAGCTGCCAGAGGCTACACAAGAAGATTCTGGTACCAGGGACCATGGGCTATCAGGCCCCACTTTTCTGTCAGGGGAGCGGGAGGAGAGTCCCAGACACAAGGATACTGTTGGTGTGTGGCAGGACAGGAACCACTAAGCTGTGGGCAGCAGGTGTTTAGGGGAAACACTGGACTCTAATGGATTAGGGTGAGGAGAAGGGCAAGCAATTTGGTGGTTAGTAAGTCATAGGTCAGTCATCATGGAACCCTGGGTGATGGACTTGGGCCTAAAGCACGATGATATATTAGATGACACCAGGCTATAGCTTTATGGAATATAAGCCTGATTCTCTATAGACCTTAAGAGAGGCAATATGGGATCCCTGAGGACAGATAGGGGACCCAGTAAATATAGATCTTTGGAAGCTAATGCATTATGGGAAGTGGAATGAGGGCTCTTCATGAGGTCATTGCACCCCAGACTCCCACCCAATAGCTGATGGGACTTGGGGCCTGTGTACATTCTGAAACATAGATATCTAATATATTATGGGATACTGGCCTAATGTATGATGGGGTGCAAGTTGCAGGGAGACATTGATGTGGCAGGGTTATAGGACCGTTAGGACATGGGGCCTGGGACATTATAAGGAACCAGAGCACCGAGGGCTATTATTGTAACTGAGATGCTACCTAAGAGAGAGATGTGGGGTCTTATGAATTAGGGGGTATAGAAGTTCACCACATGATGGGATACTGGGCCCCAGACATGTCAAATGCATGATGGCTTATGGGCATTAGGGGATAATCTGTTAGGTTCTGATTCAGTGCTTGCTGGGACATAGGAAGCCAGTACCTCAGGGGACAGACAGTTGGACAGATGTGGGTTTAGCACACAATGGCATTTGGAAAGCCAGCCTGTTGTGGGATGCTGGGGTCAGTCTCAGGCCCAAAGTATGAGGGGATGCCCTGGGGGGAGGAACATGGGCCCCATGGGCCCCATGCCCCTTGCCTTCCACGATCCAGCTCCCCCTCCACCCCCAGCCCAGTGCAGCAAGCCCAGCCGCGCCTACACTCCTCTCCCCAGGAGCTGGAGCGCCAGGCCTTGGCCAAACACGTCAGGGCAGAGGCCCTGAGCTCCACCCTTCGGCTGGCCCAAGACGAAGCTTTGAGGGCCAAGAACCTGCTGCTGACGGACAAGATGAAGCCGGAGTGAGGAAGGAGGCTGAGGGCGTGGGAGGAGGGTGAGGTCTTGGGGAAAGGGCCTGAGTCACCCTCTTCTTGCACACCATTCCCATGGCATCTGGCCTCATCAGCACCAGCTCTCCTGACCTCTGTCATTACAGGGAGAAGGTGGCCGCTCTGGACTATCTACACTTGAAGATGTGTTCCCTCCACGATCAACTCAGCAACCTGCCACTTGAGGGGTCTACAGGGACAATGGGGGGAGGAAGTGGAGGGGGAACTCCCGCAAAACGTGGGGGCCCAACCCCTGAACAATAAATGGCCTCTCATGCTGGCATGAATTCTGTCTCCTTTTTGGCCCCTAAAGAGGGCTGCAAATTGCACACATACCGTGCACTAGGCTCTGCTTACTAAGACTCGATCCTGAGCCAGGGGATATCTTGGTTTCTAGAGACTTGCTGATAATGGTACAGCTCTTTGAAAAGTAAAGAAATAAGATTCTGAGGGTGCCTGGGTGGCTCAGGCAGTTGAATGTCTGCCTTTGGCTCAGGTCATGATCCTGGGGTCCTGGGATCGAGTCCCACATTAGGCTCCCTGCTCAATGCAGTGCCTGCTTCTCCCTCTCCCTCTGTTCCTCTCCTCTGGTAGTGCTCTCTCTCTCTCTCATTCTCAAGTAAATAAATCTTAAAAAAAAAAAGCAATAAGATTCTGTGGTACAGTTTGGGCCTTCAATCCAAATGTTTTTAGAATTATTTTAAAAATTATATATATAATACTCATTTATCTATTATGTATTAAATTTATTTAATATTTAATCTCTATGCCCAACGTGGGGCTCAAATTTACAACCCCAAGATCAAGAGTTGCACACTCCACCAACTGAGGGAGGCAGGTGCTCCTGCAGACATATTTTGGAGAGCATGTCAATTTGTGGACATATTTAAACCACCACAGTAATACTATTTTTTAAAGTTTAATTGAGGTATAGTATAAGCAGAAAAGTTCACAGGTTAAAAGTATAACCTGTGAATATGACAATGAATTGTCATAAAATGGATCTGTGTTTCCAACTACAACCAAGATTTAGAAACTGCATCTAATGAGCACCC